GAGCCTGCTTCTCCCTCTCCCACTCCCCCTGCTTGTGTTCCCCTCTCTCGCTGTGTCTCTCTCTGTCAAATAAATAAAATCTTAAAAAAAAAAAAAAGATAAGTGAGTGAGCAACCTTTACAGGCCCTAGCCTCCAAGCCAACCTAGCTAACTCCCACATAAAACAAAGAAAAGTTATCTTCAATTGAACCCTGCCCAGACTGCAGATTCCTGAGCAAAGTAAGTTCAAGCCACTAAGTTTGGGGGTAATTTGTTACATGGCCCTAGTAATAACCTAAAAAGTTACTCAGTTCAAACTTGAAGGACAGGGGTGCCTGGGAGGCTCAGTCAGTTAAGTGTCTGACTTCAACTCAGGTCATGATCTCAGGGTCCTCGGATGGAGAACCATGTGGGACTCCCCACTCTGCGGGAAATCTGCTTCTTCCTCTCCCGCTGGCTCTGCCCCTCTTCCCACTCATGCGCATTCACACGCTCTCTCTCTCTCTCTCAAAAAAAATAAATAAAATCTTTAAAAAAAAATCTAAAAAAAACTTGAAGGACAGCAACTAAGATGTGGAAAAAGTAAGAGCTGGTTATGCATGTTGAGTATATTGTAAAATTAGCTTCTTATAAAATACTGCTGATGTCTTCCGTGGAAGATTTTGTATTCCTTTTTCACAGTAATTAGTTTTCAATCACTTTACCTATGAATGGTTTAGACTCAGTATTAATGAATTATTTACACTAATAAATATTCATGCATACTTCCATTAGGATGGACACAAATCGTAATCTATCCTATTTTCAAAAAGGGCAGTTCTCTATTCCTCCAAAGTATAGACACATGAAATCTGGATGTTTATTAAAATTCTATCCATTAGCATCAAAAGCTTTAAAAATCGAAGTATATATAAATATTTATGAACAGGGATATAGACTCCATATTACTTTTAATATAGAAAAACTAGAAACAATAATAAAAGAACAATTAAACAGAATTATGGCAAAACTAAACCAAATGAGATACTATTCGGTTGTTATTAAATAACATGTTCCAGAAGATTAATGATATTAAGAAATTATTTTGGGAGCTCAGTCAGAAGAGCATGCAACTCTTGATCTCAGGGTCATGAGTCTGAGCCCCATACTGGGTGTAGAAATTACTAAAAAATATAAATAAACTTAAATTTAAAAAAAGAAATTATTTTGAATATAAGTATAAAAGAAAAAATACAGAATCTTTCTTTTTTTTTTAAAAAAAGATTTTATTTATTAATTTGAAAGAGAGAGACACAGCAAGAGAGGGAACACAGCAGGGGGAGTGGGAGAGGGAGAAGCAGGCTCCCTGTGGAGCAGGGAGCCCAATGCGGAGCTCGATCCCGAGACCCTGGGATCATGACCTGAGCCGAAGGCAGACGCTTAATGACTGAGCCACCCAGGCGCCCCATTTTATTTATTTTTTAATAGGAATACAATGCAATTATAAAAGGAAAGGGAAAAAAATATTAACATTTAAAGCTCCAGAAAAACCTCTCCTGTAGCTTCCTGATTAATAACTTATAGATTTAAATCTCTCACTCTAATATTGTATATGAGTATAGGACAAGCAGATTTCAGGTACAACTAACTACTCTACTGTCAATTTTTTCTACACTAACTTCATGTGTATATTATGGTTGAACAAATAAGTAAATATATGGTACATAATGATAGAAAAAAAGTTAAAAATAAAAAAAGGGAAAAGGCTAGGATAAGCTCTGTGGTGTTGGACTGGAATCAGAAGTATCAGTATTGGGGCACCTGGGTGGCTCAGTTGGTTAAGCATCTGCCTTCAGCTCAGGTCATGATCCCAGTGTCCTGGGATCAAGCCCCGCATCGGGCTCCCTGCTCAGCCAGGAGTCTGCTTCTCCCTCTCCCTCTGCCTGCTGCTCTGCCTACTTGTGCTCTCTCTCTGTGAAATATAGAGATGTGTGTATGTGTATGGGTTAGCATAGAAAAATTTTTCTAGGGGCGCCTGGGTGGCTCAGTCGTTAAGCGTCTGCCTTCAGCTCAGGTCATGATCCCAGGCTCCTGGGATCGAGCCCCACATCGGGCTCCCTGCTCGGCGGGAAGCCTGCTTCTCCCTCTCCCACTCCCCCTGCTTGTGTTCCCTCTCTCGCTGTCACTCTCTCTGTGTCAAATAAATAAAATCTTTAAAAAAAAAAAAAAATTTCTAGTCTTCTCTAGTGAGAGCCTAGAAACAATGACACCCCAAGAGCAATGAGCACACCTAGGTGCACCCAGACCTAGATTTCTAAATACAACTCTTCAATAAAAGAACCAGGGCTCCTTAAAAAGTATCTTGGAGTACCAGAAATAAGTGCTAAAAAAAGGAGCATGTTAAAAGGGCATAGGATCCAAACTGAAAGATCTTCTAATACCTAAGCTAAACATTTCATTTCAATCAAAAAAGCCAATAATGCTGTAATAAATTATACCATAGAATAGATACTCTTGAGTCCATATTAATAAAAATAAGTAATTGAATAAATAAATAAGGAGAAAAGAGGGGTAGCTCTCCCTTACAGAAGAACTTCAATTAATAAATGTAGAGGGAATGAGGGAAAAATAAAATCACCAATAGAATATCATATACACAAATGTTGCAGACCAGATCCACTGCTAGATGGTAAAACAGTGGGTGAAAGTTTAAGAAACAGTATATTTGCATAGATTCAAAGTATCTCTCCCACGATATCTACTTACTACAAAGTGAAGGAGTAACCTTACAATGGAATAACCAGGTAGAAGCCATCTTAAGCAGGTAGTCAAGACTGACATCACCAGTAATAAGACATATCATTATTGTGTATTGTGTACTCCTGACAGGATACACTAAGAAGGGCATATCATGTGATATTCTTCCCCAAAAGCCGTAACTTTAATCTACTCATAAGAAACCTGAGACAGGGGCACCTGGCTGGCTCAGTCGGAAGAGCATGCAACTCCTGATCTCATGGTTGTGAGTTCAAGCCCCACGTTGGGTGTAGAGATTACTTAAAAATAAAATCTTTTAAAAAAGAAAAGAAACCTGAGACAAACTGAAACTGAGGAATTCAACAAAATACTGACAAAATCATAGTACTCTAAAAATGTCATGATCATGAAAGAACAAAGATTGAAGAACTGTCACAGAATCAAGGAAATCAAGGAGACATGACACCTAAATGCAACGTGGGATCCTGGAATGGAAAAACGACATTATTTTTAAAAAAAGCTGAAGATATCCAAGTAATGTCTGTAGCTTAAAGTATTGTCCAAAGTTAATTTTTAAATTTTGGTCATTGTACTGTGGTTATATAAGGTATTAATACTAAGGGAAGCTGAATGAAGGGTAGATGAGAACTCTGTAGTATTTCTGTAAATTTTCTGTAAATCTAAAGTTACTTGAAAATAAAAAGTTAAATACTGCCGTACATCTAAAAATAAGAAAGAGAAATGCATTTACTCAATATTAGGAATTTCTCCACTGATACATCAGAAAGAGAGAGTTCAACTGAAATATCATCTAATGGTAGACTTTCAACTGCATGAAGCAGCAACTGAAAACAGAGCATTTCACTTCACTGGAGGTATTAAACACAAAAGAAATAGTAGTCAATACAGAGGTATTTAAAGCTGGGTATGGCAATGTAAGAATTTATTTTTAACCCCCTCATTTACACCATGTAAGCCAAATCCAAAATTTTAAAAGAAATCATACCCACAAATGTAAAGTAAGCTAAGGTGGAAGAGTATCTAAAGCCATGCTATTTGGTCTTGTCTGTGTACTCTTGATTCCCTCTCAGAGCCCTAGTTATGATTCCTTCTCCAGCTTTGTTCCATGAAATGTACCAAATTAAAGTTCTTTGTGCCAAATTAAAAGTCCTCTGTGCATAATTTGGAAGGCTTCAGAAAAAAGTATCTAATAAATTATATGTATATCAGGGTACTACTGTGTTTAAGTCACAAAATTCTAGAGGAAAAAAAGATTATCTTTCTAAAAAGAAATTAAATTTTTGAAACACTTCCTACATAGGTAGAAACTTCATTTTGCTTCTTTTGCTACTCTTGGCTTACACAGAAGAAATAAAATAAAATAAAGTAAAATAAATAAATAAATTTTAATAGGAAATATTTCAAATAGTAATTTTCAGCACATGACTTGAGCACAACCTTTCTATATCTACAGTATTACAATTAATGAATGCGAGGTATGCTAATATATTCAGTTATCAAAGAAATGCTGGGTTATGTTTCATATAAAAACTAAAATAAGGCCTAGAAAGTATACTGATACAGCTTACAATGATTTAAACAAGGCAGATCCCAGAAAGTGTTTCTTTCTTGGTTAACCTTTGAATTAATTAGGATATACCATTCCCTGCAAAACAGTAATTAGTTATGGTTTTATAATATTTTCTTTAAATTTTTATTAAAAAGAAAAATAGCAAAATACTTTCAATATTGGTAACTCTAAAGATAATGAATAGATTAAAAGCAAAACTAATGCATACCTTATGTAACTCAGAAGATGAAGACTTTTTCCTTTTTCCTTCTGTGATAATTTCTACAAAGACATGGTAAAAATTATCATTTAACATCTAAATGAAATAAACAATGTGATAAAACAAATCCTTTCACAGCCATCCTTTGTTTTAAATTAACTTGCTAGGGTCAGAATTTGTACTGATACATTTTACAAAACCTAACAGACTAAACATAAAGGTCAAAAAATAATCAGAAGAATAGCAAATTCTCACAAAATGCTTTCATTAAATAACATGTATGATGACAAAAGAAAAAAGAAGAAAACTTGGCTCTAAGAACTAAATAAGATATTCCCTGGCAAAAGTCCAACAGGTATTCATAAATGCTGGTTGAACCATATGACCAGATAAACGTTGATAATAGGGGAAGCTGGAGGGAGGGGGGGTGAAGCAAAAGGTGAGAGGTATGTTTGGAATATTCTACAAAAACACTTCCAGTTCTACTACATATTTAAGCATCTCTGCAACTAGGAACAGTTTAACTGTCTCCTCACCAACATTTTTCAGACTTCCTGTGGATTTTTCCTTTATGATTCTTTCATTCAATCAGCAAATTTACTGAATGTCTATCATGTGCCTGGCATGTTAGGCAGTGGGGATAGTGTAGTAAGCAAATTAAACACAGTCTAAGCTTTTCAGGAACTTACAATTTACTGGAATATATCAAAGATTTCATAATAAAAAGTAATAGTAGAAATCCACACATATGTGGTCACTTATTTATAAAAAGATATCACTACAATTAGGTAAGAAAGAGATGATCTTTACACTAATGCTGAAGCAATCTGATAACCAAAAGGGAAAATAAATAAACCTTGACCTCTACCTCACGCTATAAACATAAGTTAATTGGATCATAGATTTAAATGTCAAAACTAAAACAAAAAAGATTCTAGAATAAAAAGGAGGGGAATAACTTCATGACCTCAGGGTAGGCAAAAATTTCTCAACCAAGACACAATTAGTACTAACCATAAAGGAAAAGATTAATAAACTCAACTTCATTAAAATTCATCAAACTTCATCATTAAGAGAGTAAGAAGGCAAGCCACAGACTGGAAGATTATTATTTATATTTATTATTTATAATACATTTATCTATGTACAGTATGGTGACAGTTAATAATACTGTATAATACATACATCTGTCAAAGGACTCAGACCAGAATATATAAAGAACTCCTACAAAGCAAGACAACCCAATCTTCAAATGGGGAAAAGCCTTGAATTAGGAGTATCTGAGGAGAGAAGGAATACTGACTAGAACAGGATACAAGTAAGCCTTCTGAGATGCTGGAAATGTTTTATATCTTGATTTAGCTGATTGTTACACAAGTGTATTTTTATACAAGTACAAAAAGTTATCAAACTATACTAAAGATATGCATACCATGCTGTAATACTTCAACTTAAAAACAAAACAAAAAAAGCTTTAAAAACAATTATAACAAACGGACTATACCTTATTCAAAAATCTATATAGCTGAAATAATTTCTCTAAGTTCATAATACATAGCAGTAATTTCACTACAGGTATACATCAGAGATACCATAATAAAGTAAATATCACAATAAAGTGAGTAGTTTCCTATTCCATATAAAAGTTATGTTTACACTCCACTGAAGGCTATTAAGTTTGCAACAGCACTATGTCTAAAATAACCATATACATATCTTAATTAAAAATATCTAATTGCTAAAAAATGCTAACCATCATCTGACCTTTCAGCATGTTTTAGGGAATAGGGAGGCCCAAGGAGAAGAAGAGAGACAGGGAACAGCCAGTCAGTAGAGGAATCAGAACACACACATTTATTAAGTTTGCTGTCTTATACAGGTGTGGTTTGTGGCACCCTAAAACAATTTACAAAAGTAACATCAAAGATCACTGATCACCAATCACCATAACAAATATAATAATGAAAGTTTGAAATATTGCAAGAATTTCCAAAATGTGACACAGAGACATGAAGCAAGCAAATGCTATTGGAAAAATTGTGCCACGAACTTTCAATTTGTAAAAAACATATTATCTGCAAAGCACAATAAAACAAGACATGCCTGTATATGCATTTATACCTCTATACTTAAGCTTTTGATAAATTCAATTTTCAATAAAGTAGCATTCCTTAGACTACCAAAAATAAAAATTTTTAAATAAATGGTAAGAAAGCCCTTACCTTATATTCACTTTTATGTGTATTTTAAATTCAATAAAATGTTTTAAAAAGTATCAGTTGCCCAAACTGTAATTTATAGATTAACATTCCCAAACTGACTCATGACTTAAAAATGCACCTATCCTGTTTTACAGCATGTTTCCCTATTTCCTTTAAAATTAATATTCTTGTGACTTCCCAAAATTTTAGGGGTTTTTATAATTGAGCTATTCCATTTTATACTACATTGTCTTTGGGTCATTTAAATAAACATATGATGTGCCTCTTCTTGTGATTATCTGGTATATTGTGGTGCTCAAAAGTTAATGATTTTAAAGCTTGACAACCTAAATTTCTATCCTGGCTTACTTGTGACTTCTGAGACTAAACAAGAGAGAATATCCAGCTTTTCAATTAAGATTAAAATGAGATAGCCTATATTATTTAGCATTATGTCTGGCATATAGTTAGTGCAAAATAAATGGTAACTATTATTTTAATAGTTTATATTGAAATATTACTCTTCAAGAGACCTCAGTATATTAGTATTAGCACACAGGAAAATCTAATTATTCTCATTCTAAATACATGAGTCAAACAATTGAAAGACATGACTTTTTCCCAAGTAGCTTGTGGAATCACTCACTCACTTATTTACTCCATAAACATTTATTTAAGATGATGATTACCACTGCCAGCCACTAGGCTAAGTACACAAATTATTTTTATTTAGTCTTTACAAAAGCCTTATGAGATCAGTAACAGTATTATCACCATTTTACAGATGAAGAATTTAGATTTGAGGAATCCAAATAACTTTCCCGAAGTCACCATGTTGATTCATCACTGGTCTAATACCAGAGGTAGCTTTCTTAACCAGTACACTCCAGGCATGCTATGGGATATAAGATTAATAAGATAGTCCCTGTGTCAATGTCAATAGTATAACAGAAGAGATTAAACAATTTAGGAAGCTAGAATATATGATGGAATCTGATATAAATATCATGTAAGAAGTGCTAAGACCCATGGAAGTTCAGAAATAGATATGATCTGTTTTAAGTTTGAGTTAATTAGGAGATAGTTCTTGGAAAGGCACAACTGAACTGAGCTTTGAAGTTTTAGATAATGAGCAAATTTTAGATAGGCAGAAATGGATGAAAGGACAGTTCAGTGCCAGGTGCACTCAAGAGGTGAGTTATCATTATAAGTATATGCAAAGTAGGATAAAGCAGCCCATATTTGCCAGCCTTCTAAATTATTAAAGACTCCTATTAGAGTTTATCCACCTAGAAAGCAGTTTTGAGACAGCACCATAATAACAAACTTCCGATCTGGATCTTTGAAGCTACTCAATCCTATCCATAACCCATTCCCTGTTTTACCATTCTCTCTAATCTACTTTCCAATTCTCTGTCTTCCATCATCAGACCTGGGAATCACATTCACCACCCTAGATGCCAATCCCCACAGCCTATTATCTTGCTAGTCTCTCACGTTTTATGTAATTCAACTCTACCCCTTCATCCACATTTCTTCTCCATCTCTTCCCTAGCCCACTAAATTCCTTTCCAGAGTCAGTACAATGTTCTTAAATTCTGAATCTTTTCCTGGAACATTTCCTCCACCTTAGTTTAACTGAATCCTAGCTTTTTATTGACTACATTATTTTTTTAAGGTTCTCTCAAGATTCTTCTCTCACTTATAAAATCAGGAGTAGGGATTAACAATCTCCTCCTCCCACTACCACTTCCAATTAATATTTTATTTTTATTGCATAATCCCTTCTTTAAAATTCCCATAAGTTGGATATATTACTTCACCATATTT